TCAATATTTACAGTAAAGAAGTGGAAAATATCTACGCAAGAGTTAGCGATTCCGACAACGTCAAGAAGCATGGATTGAAGTGCATTTGAGCAAAGATTTAAACGAAAAGATGTGGAGTGTAATAGTGGAAAGGTAGTTAGAAATCATCGGTGCAGTTTCGAAAACGATTCGGTAGTTTTAAAAAGTGGCAAGCTGGTGCTGCTGCGAGGGCGCACAAAACCTCGGCAATTGCCGTTTGATAGAACTGTAAGAGTATTTTATTGGTGTTGGGGCCGGGGCAGACACATAAAAATCGAATAAAAAACAAATGATAAGTGTACGTTAGTAATTTATGGAAGGCGGGCCCATCTCGAAAAGAAGGCCATGATTGGCTAAACCACCCCACCACCGCGGAAACAAAGGATTATTCTCCAGATCAATGTGTGTGCCTTTTTTGCTTCTTTGCTTCTTTCGTTTCGCCCGCGCTGACGCAACCATTTATCTGTGTATGCGATTCTATTGTGCGCCCTTTTAGATCTGTATGTCTATGTGTAGGTGTTTGTTTTGTATGCTCCCAGGATGCTGAACTATCAGCAGAATTAATGCTCCTTCATTTTTGAAAATGTCAGTTTTTCACCTACACGATGAGTGTAGGATTGTAGAATATGAAAAGTATTATATATTGTGGTTATTTATTTATTTTCAATCAACTATCGTCTACTTTCCAAGACTTAGACCCTGTTAAATGTCACAGAAAAAGTAATAAAGCCACCTGGTTCTTTCAGACGCCCATACAAGGAAACAGAGACGAAAGTACCTCCAAATGCTGAGGGGCTACGTTTTACACCCTTCTTAAAAACGTATCACAAATGTTCTTCCGTCTCATTTTATTCAAACAGTAAACGACAGAGCTGAGCTTGTTATCACATGTAACTATTTAGAACCCAATAAATCACAGCATTTGCCTATATTTTAACAATTGGTAGGGCAAACAAAATAAGCAAGTCTTCCTTACTGGGTTTCAGATATAAGCTACTTGACTTTGATTCACTTGATGCCTTCATATTTTATTTAAATAAAAACAAGCACACAGGGCTTTTAGATTTGAGATAGCTGTGTTGTAAATTTTACCTGCCTTGGTTATTGTCAGAAGTCATCCTTCAGAGAGTTAGGTGGTCTAAGTGTTTCCCTAAATGAGATGCTTTTCCAGGGTGTTTGTGTGTGTGTGAACAAGAGTGTAGGGGTATCCAAACTAGGTATAACAAACAGGAGCTTCTTCAACGCTTAGAGTTACACTGCATTTTACAAAAAAGCCTGAAAGGTATTTATTTTGGGCATTTTAGGATTTTAATAACATTCATAATGCTGTTGTANGGTGTTTGTGTGTGTGTGAACAAGAGTGTAGGGGAGTCTAAACTTAGGTACAACAAACAGGAGCTCCTTCAACGCTTAGTTACACTGCATTTTACAAAAAAGCCAGAGTTTAATAACAGTTTTTAATAACATTCATAATGCTATTGTAGCGAGCACGAGTGTGTTTGTGTGCGATTGGGCTCACGTGTGCGTGAACGGCTTATCGATTCGCCGGCTAGCCGCGGGCGCCTTTCTTCATTGTAAATATTTGTGTCGTACCTGCGTTCTGGGAAAGCAGTTAATCAGCTCAAAGAAAAAATAAACTATCCGGATGTTTCTAGAAGGTTCCCGAAAGTAAACAAAAAAGTATTTAAAAGAAGAGACGATCGCCGAGAAAGTAGAAATAAATTGACCGTTGCAGAAGTGAATCCAGAAATAAATTGACAGTAACAGCAGTGTAATAAATAGCGCAGTGAATAGTGATATATTAACAGTAGTGTAAATAAATAGAATAATTCATAACCTAAGTTTAGTAATAATTTAATAGTGTTTTTAAGTTCTTTAATAATTAGTGTAAATAAATTGTTTTGTCGTTATCAGTCTTAGAAATTAATTTTGTTAAACCCGCGAACATTACACTATGATGATTTGCTACTGAACGCGTTGAACAACGATATAGGTGCCGATTCGGTCCAAATTGGTCTTCGATACTTTAACCTTTTTGTTAGTAATGAAAGTAGGATCTTCCAAATTGGACATTATGAAGTGATTTAACTGTAAACCGTTCACGCATTTAATTGATTTGACAATGTATCTACCTAAACGGTAGGGTAGGTACGGAACATGTAAAATGTGTTTATAAAAATTATTTGCCTTATTAACATTACGAACATATATCATTTCAGCTGATTGTGAATTAAGTATAACCCTCTTTTTCTGGTAATTTTATGTACCTAACCTTTTCTATTAAATTCCTTTAACTCCGTTCCTCTGTACCTAATTAATAACTTACTCCATTGACGTGAGTCACGATTTCGAACCCGGTAGATACACTACAGATGGTGTTCATTAAGTTGTCTGCAATTGCTTATTAAACGCTACTAACCAATAATAGCGTAGATTGGTTGGTATTCTATCAGAACTCTGAATGGTGTGCTGACGAAAACTAAAAATTTAGAAAACTTGATCCATATCTGGCATTTTTGATAGAATTTTGATCAAGTATTTATTGTTCTGTTAAATAACAGATCTCAACGGATGGCAGTTACTACATTATTTGTACTTATTTTTCGATGGTCATAAGGTCGTCAGTCCTTAGACTGGTTGGACACGCAGCTCTACTCTTTCCTATCCTGAATTAATCTTCGCATTTCTCTAAAAATGGAACAACCTACATCCCTAACTATTACGAACAGTAATTTAATCTAGGTCTTCCTCTACCTCTTCTAACTGCCGTTTTTGCCTCTAATATGTCTCTTTTGAAACTCCAAATTAAATACCTATAAAAAGAAAGATCTGAGTCTTCTTTATTTAAAGCGAGAAATTAGCTATGAATTGGTGTTTCATTCATTCATTGATAATAGGTGAAGCCAGTAGGAAAGTTGTCTGACCAAGGCAAGGGGGTGAGAGGGTGAAAGACCCCATCATGACCTCCTTTATATTTGGAAATCGAGGAAATAGTGGGTGGTGGCGTTTAAGGTGAAAAACACGAGATATAAGTACAAGATGAAAACACTAGCTGGTAGATTGAAACGCTTCCTGTGGAATATTGCTTCGGCCTTCCAAGAAGGTCGAATCTGGGATTGAAGAAGTATTTTCCCGAATATTAAGTTATTACCCATTCTCCCACCATATATATATGAAACAGATGGAAATCTCTGATTAAAAAATTGTGGGATGTTCTAGTTTTAAGAAAATGCGAAGATTACATCAGGATAGGAAAGAGTGAAGCTGCATGTCCAACTAGTTTTAGAACTGACGACCTTATATGATGATAATAATTTTACATTATTCACATGCTTCACCAGAAATGCTGGATTAGGCTAAAAAATTAAAATAAAAATATACTGGCATTGTCACGTTTACAAGCAATTAATTTAATTTAAACAAAATACTTCCAGCTTCAGGTATCCTTTCAGTTGTGTTAGTTTTCAGTTTTTAAACATTCAAGCTGATAAATATATAAGTTTGCAGAATCTCAACCTTTCTAACTTGGAAAACAGTGGATTATTTAGTAAATGAAGTTGGTGATGATTCTTCGTTCTCTCATAGTGTTATTTCCAATGCCCATTCTCTTATAAATGCAGTATATATATACATATATATACATTTAAACCTAACAAACGAAATGTTTCTAAATTCCTATTCAAAAATAATTATAAAAGAAATCATAGTTCTTTCTGTTTTTTAAACTGTGTATTTTTGATGCTACCTAATATTAATAGCTGTTTTAACCTATTAATACAGTGGTTTCCAACCTGTATGGCGCGCCTCCTTAGGGGGCACGAGACTGTTACAAAGGGGGCATGCAGCTGTTTCCAAAATATTATTTTCGAATACAAACCAAAAAAGTCGAATAGTCAAAAAAATGAATCAGCAAAATAGGTATACATAATCCACAATCCTCGCCGCGAATTTTTCGGGTACAAATGCTAAAACATCCATCCATTTTATGTATATTTTTACATAATATTGTATAATATTTTGTAGCCCATTAAATAAATTATAATATAAGTTGAGTATTTATGAAATTAGATTGTTAGAAAAATGAAGGGGGCGCAACAATTCTTTTTTTAAAAGGGGGCGCAGGTACAAAAAGGTTGGAAAGCACTAAAAAGGGTTCAAAAAATGTAAATGTAACTACTAATTTTTTTCATAATTTCTTTTCCATTTCATTGAGGATGATCGCTTAACGTTTCATGTGCAAAATAATCATTAGTAGGTAGGATATTGTGAGGTTGCAATTGTCAGAGGGCAATGTAACAGTTAGACAGGACGCAAATCGGCATGCGTTCTGATGTAGTAGTTTCGATCTGTTAGTTAAACGGCTTCCTGTAACTTATCACAAAGTCACTTTGCTGCTATCGTACAATGCAAATGATCCCATACATTCATTGCCAGTGTTGTGAAACTGCTTCGTATAATACTAAAACGTTGCGAACGGGGCGCGAGGAGGGTGTCGCGTAGGACAATGAAATGTAGTTGTATATAAGAAGGACCACCCCTTGCCGCCGAGTCCCACCCCTAACTGCCTGCTAGGGGTGTTCTCCGAAAGATTCAGTTATGTACACACTTCTGCGCATTCAACTATATTTATACCCCGACGACTCGTTTGAAACAACTTTTAAATCCATTTATGGTTTTTCATTCCGATTCTTTGGATCTTTTCGTTGCGCATGCATTGCACCCGTGGTGGTTTAAAATTCAGTGCATTTTAAAAAACAAATCTTGTTGCGGAAAACGTTTTTCCAGAAAAGTGAAGTGACTATAATTAGCAATAAGAATATGCATAACGGATTTTACGTCACTTGAAGAATCTCGTCGAGAGAACTTAATTAATCGCTTTTAGACATTTTCCGAAGATACTTTTAATGAAGAATTAGAAACCCATGACAATCCACTTTAAGAAAGTGACACATTATACAACCGACGTCGTACAAACATAGAAGATGATGCAAAACGTACCGCCAGATATGTTTCAGTTTCTCCAAACGAAAGACAAAATGTTGAAGAGTCTTAACAATAATTCGTCTCCCTTTTTAATGGAAAACTTATTGGGACATCACGGTAGATTATCGCCTGAAAACCTCGAGATAAAAATTGAGGAAAACGCAGCCCTGGAACTCCAGAAAACGGCTGAGAAGCTGACGCAGGAGAACCTAAGGTTCTTCCAAGAAAACTACAAGATGCCGTCGAGTCCCACAGACAGTAATCGTAGTGAAGGTGAAATTGATCGACTCTCGCCAAATGAACGTAAAGACAAAGTTTTAGATTTCAATAACTGTTTTAACAGTAAGTGTTGTTCGAATTGTGGCAGGCTAGACTGTAATTTTTTCCAATGCCGGCTTCAAAGTGATCAGATACTTAAGGACAGTAAACCAGTACTTAAATTCAGCGTTAGTGCCATTCTTGGGAAGGATGATACCCGCAGGAATCTACCCACTAGTAAGTTGTTCTATAATTTTTTGTACCACATGATTCTGCGACGGTAATTTTTGAAATGTACAATTAGTGAAATATTTAAGAATCTATACCTGCAACTTATCTGCATTAATAAAACTATTAGAATAAGTATCCTAGAAGTAGAAAAATACAGAATTCGTGAATATAGAACGAAACATATTAGTAGAACCATGCATGAATGTTTTCCTGTTATAAAAACAGTTTTGCATTTATTTTTGTTTATAGTTTAAGAAATATTTCAGTTCAAAATTATAGGCATTTACTTACTATATTTAAAATTAGAAAAGTAGTTGGTGGACTTACTATGTCGTAAGAATAATAATCATTTGGCTAATCAATCATTGTAAACCAAATTTAATTGAGATAAACATTAATGAGATGTAGGTCCTGGGGTGGACGTTGTAATCTTCGGAACTTAATCAGTTAGATATCTGGTGGTCAATTAAGTTATTTTACCACAAATCCTTTGCTACTTTTTAGTTAAGGTAACTATTATAAGCTGAGAAATTAAAAGAAAAAATATACGTATTCTTGTATGTCATTTAAATTTTCTAGATCTGCTTTTTCCGTTTTCTATTTGTATTTCTATTAGTAACTTACACGATGCTGTGTGTGTTAATTAGTATCTGAAGAAGATCATCAGATAATCTGAACGATTGAGAGATAGATCGGCAACAGACAAACCCGGGAATCCTAAATTTTACTGTAATAATCGCGTAGGTTAGCATGAAATAAGAAATTCAAAGTTTGTGCAGAAATTGACCAATTTCTTGTTTACTTTGAAGGAAGAAAAAGCAGAACCTAAATGTTAGCTAAAAATAAGAAAATTAAATACAAATGCTCGCCTCCTTATTAATTGAAATTACTATTAGGAGTAATTAGTGATCCGGGACTCGATATTAATAAATAAATTTAATACCAGCAGAAGTCACGCCTACGATCATACGTCATACGTCATCGTAAAATCCGAAAATATTCACACTAAATGTGCTGTACCTAAGCACACCACTGACACTACAGTAGAGAGGATACAAAATGATCTTTCCTACCGTATCTTACCTTATGAACTTAAGCATCAAACAAATAAAAACGTTCTTCGGTTAATTCATTAAATATCAATATAGAAACTACAGAGGACCTTGGTTATAGTCATATCAGTTACAACGGCAATAGTCTTGCGAAGGGCCCCGCACAATGCCAATGGAAAATCGAATCCGGTTAAATTGGGCTATAATTTTCTTAATGACTTTCTAATTAAAAGTTGTTGCGTTTGTTAAGTCAAAGAATAAAGTCTCTGAGCTACGGATCAAAGTAACTTACGATCTTAAGCCTACCTAGATAATGCATAACTGATGGTGAGACATTCAATCGATTATATCATATCTTCAGCTCAGTAGATAGGTAGAAATGCTTAATACAGAGGCTATTTGATCTAAAGATGAGCGAGCAATGACGGCCTCTGCCGTGTTCTTGATAACTATCTCCAAGGTCATTTATAAGTCAAGTACATTTTTCAGATCATCTTGGAGATAGTTGTAAGGATCACGGTAAGGGCCACCACTGCAAGTTCCCATTTAGACCCAGTAACGTCATCATCATCATCATAAAGTTGTCAGTCCTAAGACTGGTTGGACATGCACCTCCCTCTTTCCTATCCTGAGCTAATCTTCCCATTTCCCTAAAACTAAAACAACCCATATCCCTAACTATTTGCGAACAGCAATATAATCTAGGTCTACCTCTACCCCTCCTAACTTCCGTTTGTGCCTCTAATATGTTTCTGATTAGACCTTCATGCCTGAGAAGGTGTCCTATGGACCTATCTCGTCTTTTTCTTATTGACTTCCATAGAGTCCTCTGTTCTCTTACTCTTTCTAATACCTCTTCATTTCTAACCTTCTCTATCCACGCTATCCTCATCATTCGCCTGTAACACCATATTTCGAACGCTTGTAACCTTTTTTTTTTCCGCTGCGTCACTGTCCATATTTCGCACCCGCAAAGCACCGTGTTCCAAACATACACCATTAACAACCTTTTTCGAATTGCTAAATTAACCGTTCGCGAGCATAGAAGTGACTTATTTTTATTGAAGGCGACTCGACCCTGCGCTATCCTCTGCGTTTTATCCCTACTACTCCTTTCATCCTGACTCATCTCCACTTTTACTAATTTTTCGTCGCCTACCTTTATATTCACTCTTTCCCTACTTTTCCTTCCTTTGCATACCAGCATTTTTGTTTTACTTTTATTTATTTTCATACAATACTGTTTTGTCAGTACCGCTTCCATTTTATTTAAAGCTATCTCTTACTTCTCCTTGCTAGATGCTGATACTGCTATGTCATCTAAGCATACTAATCTTTTGCCCGTGTATGTCTATCCCTATAGTTGTACTGTCTTTATTGATGTTGATCGCGTCTTCGATGTATAGATTAAAAGGTAGCGATGACAATGTGCCTCCCCGTCTGAATCTCTTCCTAATATTTACTTCTCTACGTTGCAGTAACCTCCGTATTGAAAATTTTTTTCCTGATGGAATAATTGATTAAATATCCTACTTATTATACATTAAAAAGGTTGAAAATATTGTGCTACTTTGATCTGTAATCAAAAACTTGGTATAACTTTTGGTCAGAATCTTAAATAACATCGTACTTCAATTGCAGTCAAATTGAACGGAGTCATTCAAGCCAACGCTGGAAGTCTCTGTAATAGAGACAACAAACTGGGATACAGTGCCATATTTTTATGGCTACAAATCCTTGAAGCGGTCGCATTATTCCCGGTACTTTCGCTTGGTTCAGCAAATGAAAAGTTGCCCACCCTCAATTTACTTTTTTATAATTTATTGCCGTAAGTAGGTACCGCATATAGTTGGTGCAAAATGTTTGTGTCGTGTCAAGTTTGTATTGTGTAAACTTCTGTTAATAACAAGATACTCGATTATATCGTCAAAATATCGTCGATCCCTAGGGTGACCATATAACCAGGTTCTACTGTAATAAAGATTTAATAAACATAAGAAGAAGAAAATATGTAGGTACATCCATACCAGTAATCCATTGTTACAAATTGTGCCAAAAAGCAAGGTAGTCGTGGTCCTATGTTGTGTTGGCGTGCAGTACATTTGATAGTGATCGTAGATATACTTTGTGCTGGTGTTAAGTATGTTTAGTATCATTTACCTATTATACTTGTAATACATGTTAGTTTTCATTCGAAAATGCAGACCTTTAAATACAGAGTTTAAAACACCAAAATACATAAAAGAAGTACGCTTCTACATGACTACAAGTGCAAAGATATTTTGAGGAAAGCATAAAGTTCATCAAGTTTAGGACCACATCTTTATCATGTTTTATAAACATTTATGCTCTAAACATTTGTAGTTTCAAAACATAATTCATATAAATACCTGTTACGTGTTTTATTTTAATTTAATTTCACTTAGGGAAAGTCAAAGTTCTGGTAACGACCCAATTAATTAGGACTCTCACCAACCCCCATTTATACATTCGAATTTTTGTAATGACTGACAGGCTGATAAGGACTCCTCGCAGTTCGGAGTCAATTACTTAGGATCAATATAGGTGGCAGGCCACTTTGGAAAGCTGCCCCAGTGGAAAAATTGAAAAATTCCCAAGGAATAACCCAAGAAGTTAATGTTTTAATTTAGAAAGGGTTTTCATATAGCAAAGGATTAAAATTTTACAAATAGCTTGTCTGGTCTCCCCAGATCCATGGGCTGGCGACTCCCTTGACTAAAACTAAACAGGCACTCTTATTCATTATAATGTGTAAGTTCCGCTTGTGCATTGATTAATTTATTGAATTTGACTTTACTTGATGGAAATCCTAATTAATATTTTATAAATGTGAATGTGTTTGTTTCTTTGTTACAATTTCACGCTTCAACTACTCAATTGATCATCACAAAATTTTGTACACATTTTGTCAGGGGTACAAAAAAGGATATAGGGTACCTTTAATCCAGAAAAATAATATTGTTTCCGAGGGATCAAAAAATATTTCTTTTCACCTAGATAAAATAGGTTGTTAACTGGCATATTATACACAAAATGTATGTTTAATCAACAAATTAACTTTAGTTTTATCCTGATGATCCTGGCCAAGACTATTTATTGAATTATTCTATGTATTTTCGACAATCTGTGACATGTATTTAGGACATCAATGCGAGCGAAGCCGCGGGTAAAACCTACTTCATTATAAAATTAATACACATAATTTCACAGGTTTTATGGTCAACTTTTCTAACTTTTGAAGAAGCCACAATGTGGCGAAACACGTTCATTTACAAATATAAATAAATGATATTATAGAAATAGTTTTTTTTTCACAAAGAATGTTTTGTTGTTTCTTCACTGTCGCAATCTTCTGATGCAATAAAAATCAGCGTATTTCATTTGTTATTTTGGATCTAATAATCTGTTTACCCCTGCCAGGGGCATTTGTATTTGGCCACGGTCGTTTATAAACTTCTTGAAATATATGTACGCCCTTCGAACCACCAAAGAAGACGGCTTAGACGGCTTAGAAAAACACGTCGAACAAAACGCACGATTGTCATTTTTATTGCTCGAAAAAAGAACAGTCTTGCTAACGCACATGAATTCAGCGGTATCTTAATAGGGGTGTATATAGGCCGATGGGCTAATCCGCGCTGTAAACACATGGGGTCTCCTCTCGTTGTTGTTGATCGGTAAAAAAAGTCCATTGTCGAAACACAATACATCGGTTTGTTGCACACCGTAAATAGATACAAAAATAATGGGATGTTATTCCAGCGTGTTAGGTAGATAGATAGGGGATTATTCTTTTTTATGTTGTGGCAAATCGTTTAAAATAATATCTGTAAGCTAGACGCGGTGCTGAATCAGCCATTGTAAATGAAAATGAGCAAATGTAAGTATTATTTTTCTTTTAAGACTTCAGTAATGTAGGCATATATCGTTGTT